AGCTAAACATGCAGAGCCCCATTATCACAGACATCATCATTTATTTTCTGTTTATTTTTGTGTCAGATGGTTTTCAGAAGGCTTTTGAGAAGAGTATCTCAGATGCCCTGGCTAGTTTGGTGCCATAGCCACTTCTTATCTGCCCCTTCTTATTACCTGTCTTACTGTAGTTCCTCTGCCCATTTGTTGCTCTTGGATCTCTGCCTCCTTCACCTGATTTTTATCTTTTTCTGGATTTGTGGGGCTTTTGGTGTTGGTTCTGGGTTTTTTTCTTAGTGGTTCTTTTCTTTGTTTATTTTGTGGGGTCAGAGTTTTGGTTTGTTCTTTGGTTTAGTTTTTTCCCACTTAACAGTCGGAATCAGCTTGTGATATGTATTGTAAAGTTCTGAAGCACAGGTGTTGCAGATAAAGGTTGGTTCTGTTTTAAAGTCATCTTGGACACAGATCTGCAAGCCCCTGTGACCTTGAGGACTGTGTGCTCTCAGACAGCAAATTGTGCATGAATAGGAAACTCGTAGTTCCTGTCTCCATTACACACAGCAAAATGTAAAGGGCTTGGAACAGGACCAATTCTAGCCTTTATTCTGCTGCCATGCCATAAAACGGTGTCGGATTCATCAGCGAACTCTCTTCTTCCAGGATGGGCTGTGCAAGGATGATCCCTTAGCTCCTGTGTGGATGTGCTGTGCAGCAGGCCAGACGCACGACTGTCATCCATAGCCAGCCTCTGTCTGCAAAGAGAACAGGGAGCTGCAGCTCGGAGGGGCTCAGGGGTTAGTGAGCACACACACCAAATCCCTAATTTATATCAGTTACTTTACAGGAGTGTTTGTTGCTGGGATAATTTTAAATTCCAGCCAGAGCTGGAAAAAAAGAACCCTGGCAGTTTGCATAAGCTAGGAAGGGAAGAGATTCTTTTCAACGGGTTCCAGCTCTGCTCCTTGTTTGAATTAAAAGCAGAGCCAAACTCTTCTGTTGGTCACATCAAGCCAACATAAGTTTGAACGGTCTGTGAAAGACAGAAGAATGTAAAAAATTATTTCATTTTATAGTACTTACAGTCTTGTAATTCTGCCATGGGCTAATTCTGCCATAATTCACTGTTATAAATTTGTATTGTGATATTGGCTTTCGCAGATGAATATTATATATTAAATACTTTTTAGCTATGCTAACAAGTCTTAAGTTTAAAAGAATTTCCTAGGTACAAGGCAAGGAAACTCCAGAGGGCAAGGACAGTGGGGCCCAAGTTGTTATCAGGAGAACAATAGAACCCAAACTGTTATCAGCGGAAGATATGAAGACCAGCTGCCCTCAGGGGAAGGATGAGGGGCCCAGGCTGTTATCAACAAGTGACCATCTGCAGCAAAAAGGAAACCAAACTCCAAAATTATGCTGACCAGCAGAAAATAACATGATCCAAGAAGGTGGAACCAGGGAGGGGACATGCTTGAATATGCATTAACCTCTCACAGCAAGGATGGTATAAAAAGCGTATTCCTGAGATACCAGGTGTGTTCCTGGTAAACCACCAGGGCACCCGGCCGTTTTAACCCTTTGCTTTATTTCTTTTGTCTCCTAATTGTCTTTTGTTTATATTAAATTCTTTTTATAATTTATTAAGTGAATCTCGTTTTTAAGAATTTTTGGGGGCTCTTTCCGGGATAAGCACCTCACCTCTAGGACCACCGGAGATCCAGAACGGGGAAACAGGCGCGCCTCTGCTGAGTTCAGCAGATCCCATTCTGTTTCTCCTAGCGTGGGCCAGCGGCTGCAGGTCAAAAACCCGAGGACAAGAAGGGGAGAAATAAAGCAAAGGAAAGGGGAAAATAAAAGCTCCCTAAAAACCGCGGTATTTTTGCTCCATAATTCTTGTGCACGAAGAACCAAAGAAGAAGACGGATTGTAAGTAACCTTTGGGGGAGCGGGAAGCGGGGGTTGCAAGATACCCCCGAGGTTACTGGGACTGGGTCTCAGGGGAGGGGTTAGCCCCTCGGGAAAGGGAGCCCAAGGTTTTCCTGGCACAATCCACTGGGAAAACAGAGTAAAATATGTATTCTCTAAAACTTTGTCAAGTTGAGGATTAAATCCAAGAAATTTGGACTTAAAACTGCCAAATTGAGGAATAATCCAAGAAACTTGGGATATTTGACATATTACAGTGCCCATGGGCGGATATTAACAAGGGAAGTAAAGAGCACCTTATTGTCTTGCTGTGACTGGGTGGAGTTGAATGAACAGATGTGAGAATGCGTAAATAGGTGTGATTGTTGCGTTAAAGTTTGTGGAGTTTTCTTTTGGAATTGTGTTGTTAAAGAGGAAAGGTTATCTGTGCTGTGCTGGAGTAAGAGTGAACACGCGTCAATGCTTCCACAGGGACTGGATCACGGTGGGGACAAATGGAGGGATTCGCTTCCTCCCTGCGAGCTCCTGTCTTGGAGCCCCGGGGTGGCAAACCAGAACTGGGACTTGTAGCCCAGGAGCCGCAGGGGTGTTGTATCAAATCTGTTCTCAGCGGGGTGGCGGCTCTGCTCTCAGAGCAAAGCCGAAGTTATCTTTAGTGGTGATCTTCCCTCCGTGCCTTTCCTCCCCCCTGGGCAACAAGAGCTGCTTGCATGGGAGGGGTAGCTTTGGTGAGCTGGTATGTGATTCAGCGTTTGAAGTTGTTTGGTTTTTTTTAGAAGTTTTCTTTGCCCCACTGTAGCGGCGGTGAAAGGTGCTCCCAGGACTACTCCCTGCCGAGCTATTGGGACGGAGGGGCGGGGCCAGTGGTGAGTCCGGCCAGACCCTGATAAGATCAGGGCACGGAGGGTGCCCTGAGGGGATGAGTTCAGCTCATCCCTTTTGAGTAAAGTGAGGGCAGGGGCCTTCTACGTCTTGGTGCCCCTGGATTGTTTAAATTTATTTTGGAGCTCTCAAGCCGCAGAGCTGTGTTTAGGTGGCTGCAGGCAGGCTGGATTGAACCACAGATGCCGCTTCGGGTTCCCTGCTCCAGGCACAGGGGGATCGGAGGAGCTTTCAGTGACTCCTGGAACCTCCTGAAGCTGTGCAACAGGCCGGGAACATGCCCAATGGTGAGAGAGCTGGGTGAGTGCCTCTGGGACCCAGGTTTTCTATGCCGGGGTCTTACGAGACCTTGGGCACATTAAGTTCTGTAATTTCGGGAGTAAGGACTGATGTCAGACAGTCTCAGAGAGCTTTTTCTTAGCCAGATGTGTGAGCGAGATATGGAGCAGTACTGGCGTATGGTATCAGCTCCAAACCAAGGGAGCTGCACGTTGCAAGCCTTTGTTTTACCGGATTCTGAGAGAATTCCGTGTATGATGGTGCTGTGGGCTTCTACAGCAGTAAGCTGTGTCGGTGCTTAAAATTTGAGATTTCAGGAAGAGCATGCATCCTGGGGGAAAGTGGAAAAAGAAGTGAGCTCTGTTTGTTTTTTTCTTGAGTGACTGCAATATTTATTTTGTAGAGAAATAAACCCATTTCTTAGTATGCCTTCCAATTTCTTTACTTTAGTGAATATCGTAGAATTTTGTGGTTGATTTTAATTTTAAAGGCAAGTTACAGTAATTTGCATAGTAGTCACTTCTTGAGGTGAAAACTTATCAGGTTGTCAATAAGTGTTAGAGCTGTTAACCCTAATGTTGTTTGTGTTCCGTGCTGATGGGCACAGCTCATGATTCTTAACAGCAGAACCTGGTGCCAGCCTAAAAGCAAAATCCTGTGGATTGTTGTAAATCTTTTTACTGCTGCTGAAAATTATTTTGTCTCTTTTCACAATATGAAATGCTCATCATCTCTCTGATGATTGCTAAGGAGTTATTGTGATAGTGTGTTTAGCTGAAGATCAGGCTCAGAACTGCCATGATTTCTTGTTCTTTTGAATTTGCCAAGAAAGTGCACATGTCTCTAGGAGTGCTTGTGTTGTTTTGCAGCTGTGCTTATCACAGAACCAGAAGTGGACCCAGTTAAAAGATTAAAATTAAGATTGTTGGTGTTTCGAATTGAGAAGAGAATTGTGGAGACTCTAAACTTGGTCTATTTTAATAAGTACATGTGTTTTTGGAGATTAGTCTAATTTTGTGAAAGAAGAGTTCGAAAACAATTGTAAGACTGGTTCTTGCTATAGATGGTTCATAGTATATAAGCTGCAAGTACTGTTGAAACATAAAGGTATTGTCAGAAACTTGTCAATGTATCTAAATGCCTGTAAGAATAAAAGACCTGATCATATCATGTCATGAGAAAAGTTACACTAGAGATTATTCACATTAAGCAGCTGTGTGAGGATAGACTCCTTTGTACCTGTAGAAGAAAACTTAGAGAAGAATGATGTCTGTGTCTTCATTTCTAGCTTGACTGGAGATCTGTTCAAGAAAGTAGAAATAGAAATTGCAAGTTTGTTTTAGTAGCTAGCTAGCTGACTGGTCTGTGTCCAGAGCCTTTGATGGCTTTGGGGAGCATCCCCAAAAGGAGGTGTTAGAATTTGTTGTTGATTATGAAGCAAAGTAATTTGTGTAGTGGAGATTCTGGAGGGATGTGGTGTAAAGAGTGGCGAGATAATAGTGGCAAAGAGAAAGAGAGAGGTTTGCGTTTCCTTTCTTTAAGTTGTAAAGATTTTTAGAAAGAGAGCGAGAAGTTGGGTTGTTGGTTGTTGGTTGTTGGTTGTTGGCTCCGAAGAGTGAGCACTGGCTTGTGGGGAGAAAAACTTTCAAGCACGATTAGAGATGAGAATTGTGCCCGGAATAGGGGATGTTAGGAGCATCTGGAGCGCTGGGTTAGGAGCTGCTGGGTTTAGGTGTTGTTCTATTGCTTTTATGTAAAGCGGCTGTAGCAGGACCAGGTCCCTGTGAGTGGCGAACAGCAGGGCCCGGTGTGGCGGCTCCCGGTCCTCTCCCACCCGATGTGAAGGGTGCAGAGCGTGGTTCGTGAGTGGCGCTGCTGGAGCGGGACCCGCCGTGTCTGTGCCGGGGTCTCGAGGGGTGCGGGGTGCCGGCAGTGCTCGCCGGCCTGGCAGCGGTGCTGGGTGAGGTTTGCTGCTGAAGAGCAAGCTGGCCCAGCAGAGGAGCCCCAGACCAGAGCACTGTGGACTCCGGGCTCTGCCTCCCGGCTGTGGTGGGAGCTGAGTGTGTTTGAAAATGCCAGTCCTGTGTGTGAAGGGACGGCACAGCAGGGAAAGAGGGGACACGAGCTTTGCCCCAGGGTCAGCACGCAAGTGACTGGCAAGGACGCAAGTGGGCCCCTGCAGAGGGAGCGGCTAAACAGCCTGCTCGGCCCAGAGCTGCGGCAGCGGGAGTGGGGGAGAGAGCCTGAAAAACTGCTGTCAATGGGAAAGGAACGGAACAAAAAGCCGAGAAACAGACCGGTGGATGATGGGACCAAAGCAAAAGTAATCTTGCTCGTTAGGTTCTGAAAACCTCATCAAGGTGTTTAATTTCTTGAAACAGGATCTTTTTTTTTCTCTCTTATTTTTTTTCTTCTCTTTCTTTCTTTTACTCTTCTCTTTCTTTCTTTTACTCTTGTTGTTAAAAGGAAGGGGTTTGTTCTAAGAAACCTATAAAAGAAGTTTGTAAAGCTAAACAAGTAAATAGTAACCAAAAGGTAAAAAAGGTAATGAATGTAATTTATTTGAACTCAAAACTAACCTAGCCTTTCTCGTTTAACTAATCTGAACGCGCAGAAAGAGATTGGCTCCTATGTTAACTGTTAAATTTCGCTGATGGAAAATTTTGATGTGATGTTTTCATTCTCCCTGTGTTATTAAGAAATTGTTTTCAGGTACTACGGATAATTAAGGCAGAGAAGCTGCAATCTGGACCAAAGAGTGAAGTTGGATTCACACCAATAAGATCAAAAGAGCTGAGGACTGGACTGTAACACCCAAACCCAGTGATACCAAATGTACTCTTGAGCAGAGACCGGCGGTAATGAACTGAAACAATCCAAATGATCCAAGGAATGAGCTAAGAATCACGCCTAACTGGGAAGTAAGACCAAGTCTGTATCAGTAGTTTCTGCCTGGACAAGTTCTGGGACACTTTCGATATCCACCTTGGGAGGAAAACTCCCACTCCAAACAGGAGGACTGGGGCTGTT